AACATGTATGCTACAGCATGGCAGCGCCAGCTGCCTGCGCACCATGTGGCTCCCAAAGAGCCACGTAAAGAGACGTGTGAGTTATGTATGCTTCACGAGGCCCCGGCTCAAAACTAGCGTGAGTTAAATACAACTCACATGGCAGTTAATGTGTTAAAGTTTACACTGGTTCCGCATGCATTTTAGAGATGACTTTGGACCCTGGGTACAAACCAGGGGTGCTCATTCATCCAGTGAAGGCAATTTGGGTCTATACCAGCGTGTGGTTCAAGTTGCAAACTGTTGTTTGTCAACTCACACTGTAAGTTTAACAACTACACGGGCCTGGCATTTTTTAAGTGCCCCAGATTATGCTCATTTGCAGCCAGGCTGGGAAACCACGCAGTCTTTTTTTCCCCAAAGTGAAAAATGCAGACATTGTCCTCTAGAGGGCGCTGTATGCTAGGGTTTCAAACAAGCACTATTGCAGAATTTCTTTTTGGTTAAGAGAAGTTTGGTAGAAACCACCTTGTTTAAAAGCAATCCATTTTGTTGGCTATAATGTACACACTGTCATACGGTGGGTTCCAGGAAAGAAACACTGCATATCACATAATATGACAAGAAAAGGGCAAAGCAGATTCTATTTGGGAGCAAAGGAGTAGCCCTGTTAAATACGTTAGTTGAATAGAATTGCTTTAAAAATATAAATTATAGAAAGTAAGCCATCTTGACTAATGGGGACTTGTTGTGGACTTTGAGAGCATTTCAGGGAGCATGGATTTTAAAAGGGTGAGTGTGGATGGCAGAATGCTCCCAAGCCTATATTTATTTCTCTTCTGAAACCCTATAAAAATTCACCTGAAAATGGAAGGGAAGAGGACTTAATGGACCAAAGATTGTGGTGAACTTCTGGAAACCAGAAGGGATGGTATTAACAGAAAAATCAGAGCAGATGAGTGTGCCAGGGGAAGCCTGCTGAGGGAATTGGTGTCATTTTTTAGAATTAGTTGGTGTAGAGCATAGAAATAGGAAGGTGGGAGAGAGAGAGCTGGTTGATTATACTTTTGGGAAGTTTTCTGGGTCATTCCCACTATCCCTCCCCACAACTGCCACCACCAAGACACACAAGACAGCACAGGCATGTGTTCTGGGCAGGACAGTACTTCTGAAGAAATAGTCACCGTCTAGGAAGGCTATGGTTTCAAGAGAGATGCTGGGGCTGGGCACAGTGGCTCATGCCTGTAATCCTAGCACTCTGGGAGGCCAAGGCAGGAAGATTGTTTAAGCTCAGGAGTTCGAGACCAGACTGAGCAAGAGCGAGACCCCGTCTCTACTAAAAAAAAGAAAAAAGAAAAATTAGCTGGGCACAGTGGTGCAGGCCTGTAGTCCCCAGCTACTCGGGAGGCTGAGGCAGGAGGATTGTTTGAGGTTGCAGTGAGCTATGATAACACCACTTCACTGGGGTGACAGAGCAAGACCCTGTCTCACCAAAAAAAAAAAAAAAAAAAATCAGTTATGCAGTGTAAGAAAACTCAAAGAAAGGCACTATCAGCATACCTTTATCAAAACAGCTACTTAAGGAACTAAATGAAAGTGCAATCCAGGAAAGAGGACAGCATGAGATTTAAGAAGCTGGAAATAACCCCAGAGCGGGATGAAAGCAAATCCCAGGGAAACAACTGAGCAGCAGGCCTGGGAAGAAGTCAGTGTATATTACACCATTCAACAAATATTAATAGTAGGATCAAACAGCTGGAAATCAAAGAGCAGGAACAAAGGCAGCACTGCACACACACTCTTATGGCCTCTGTACCTCTGCAACTATGGTTCCTTCTGCCTAACAGGAGCCAGTGTGCTTTGTTTTTATCTTAAAAATAAAGAAAAAAGAAAACAAGTTACATTTTCTGCAGTTTAAACATTATAAAATATTGTATCCTTTGGAAAGCTCTTCTTTTTGTAATCATGCAGGTGGAAAAACATGTGAGTGATGCAGTTTCCAAAGGGGCCACTGTTGTGACAGGCGGAAAGCGACACCAACTTGGAAAAAATTTCTTTGAGCCCACCCTGCTCAGCAATGTCACCCAGGACATGCTTTGCTCTCATGAAGAGACTTTTGGGCCTCTGGCACCAGTGATCAAGTAAGATCATCCAGCCAGTAGGAAGATAAGAGAAAGAATAGAAAGGAAAAGGAAACCAAGAGAGAGTCCTGTGCTGTTTCTAGGGCTGCCTGGGGGAGGCAGAGAGCTGTGTTGAGTCAATTGAAGAGCAGAGTTCAATATATGAGTTTTTTAATCATCACTTATTTAGACCACAAAACTTACTAAATTCTTTAATTTCTTCTTGCTTTCTGCTGAACTCATTTTTCTTCTTAATGGAGTACCTCCTCAAAGGGTTCTTTCATGGGAGACTGTAGGAAATGAACTGTGACCTTTTGTGATCTTTTTTCTCACATTCACAAGGAAATAACAATTCACTTGGATAAAATTCTGGGTTTAACACTTTGAAAATATCACTCCTTTATCTGCTTATATCCAGGGTGGTTGCTGAGAAATCTGATGTCTGGCTCTGGCTCCTTTGAAAGGGATCTACTTTTTCTCCTCGAAAACTTTTAGAATTTCTTTTGTTCTTTGATGTTCTTAAATTTTACTGTAGTAGCTCTGGTATGGCACACTGTGATCTTTTTCAATCTGCGGTCCTAGTGTCTTTCTTCAGTATGTAACAGGTTTGTTTAGTCCTGGGAAATTCTTGGTCATTATTTCCCCAAATATTTTATTAATACTTCCCTCCATTTATCCTTTTCCAGCCTTCTAGGAAGTCTATTACTGTGATACTTCCATCCCCTGCTTCTGTTAGCTCTTGTTTGTTCATTCTCTCTCTTCATCCATTTCCGGTGCCCCTGAGAGCCCTTCCCCTCATCTGCCAGCGTATCGGTGCATTCTCCACGTACACCCACTCCGCTAGCCAACGCACCCCTCTAGTTCTTTATCTCAGCAAGTATTTTTTCCATCCAGTTAATATCTCCAGTTGGCTCTTCCCCATAACTGATTTTTCCTGCTTCATTATTCTCCCTTATTTTGCTGTAGATATTTATTCTTTCCATACATTTTTATTCTGTTCCACTGTTTCTGCCTCCTCTGGGATAGGCTGTACTATTTTATCTTGGAGCTCCTCAGATATCTTGTTATTTTCCCTGTGGGCTCATCTTTAAGCCCTTTGAGCTGTTAGCAGCCTTGTATTGTAACATCTACCATGGGAGTGTGGTAAAAAGCGTAGACTTTAGTTTGTGCTCCTTCTCGTGTGTTTGGAGGGCGTGAGGTTGAGCCTAGCAAAGGGTTGAGCCTCGCGGAGGGAGCCTCTAGTATTAAAATCCAGTCTCAATGCCACTCCCCTGCCCCAGTTGTCTTTTCACAGTGCCCTCTGTTGTAACAGGTTGGGAAGAAGAGGCCCTGGTCCTGCCACTGCCTGCACTTGTTCAGGATGACCAGTGTACCCCTTGCTGCCCTGGGCTGGCCCTGCTGATTTTCTGCCCCATAGCAACCTAGCATTGATCCAGGGATGCAGATTTGGAGGCAGGTCACCTAGAGCTCACAGGTTAGAGGGAACAGGTGCAGCCCTGCCTCCAAGGCCCCACAGAGCTGTTGTTGCTCCGCCCACCCCTGCATGGGTGGCTGAGCTCTCTCCCACTTGAGGCCATCCTTGCACCCCAGGATCCAACCACCTTTTTTTTTTTTTTTTTTATGTCAAGTTGTCTTGGTCACCAACTACCTTCTTGGCTTCCAGAGGGGTCCTGCATTTTTGGTGTTAGTTGATGATTGAGGTTTTTTGAACCGTGATTCTCTTTCTCTCTCCCTTGGCATCTGTAGCTCTGGGTTCACAGAGAGACCAGAAATCTTTTGTATCATATACTTTACTGGCCTTGTTACCATCTTGCTAATGAAGTTTATTTTTGTTCCAACATTGGGGAAATGGACCACTTGAAGAACTTTCATCTTCTTAGTTTTAATAAAAACTTTATACCTAAAATGCTCACTAGACATTCCCACAGGAAACTGAAAAGATGCAGTGGTTGGGAACGCAGGCTTGAGTTGACTCTGGCGTTGATTCAGGCTTTGCTTCTTCATACCTGAGTACCCTTGGACAGGTTAACTCTTCTGAGCCAGCTCTGCCCCGTCTCCCTCTGCAAGCCCTGCAGAGAGACAGCTGCCTCACTGCTGGCAGACCTCTGAATTTAGAAATTGGGGTGCTTAGAACATGTTGGCCCAGTTACAATTCAGGAACAATAAAAAAAATACAACCCACGTCTTGTTCTTGAAATACAATTATAAAGCTAGAAGAGACTGCGTGGGGCTTTGGTGCACTCCTTCACTTCAGAGAGGAACAAACTCCAAGCACCATGGCATTGTTATGCAGTAGTAAGTGCTGGGAGCAACATTAGAAACCAGCCTGACCTCCCCTGAACAGTTTTCTTTCTGCTTCATTATGCTGGCTTCTAAAGTACTTGTTAGGATTGTTATATAGTCTCAGTGGGTACCGAGAGCCGCTACCTTTTTTAAAGGGACTTTGTTTGGTATTCTAGATATGCCACAGTTTCCTGCATGTTGGCCTGCTTTTTAGAAGAGATGAAGCCAGTGTTGGTTTGAGTGTGCCAGGCCTGAACACTGAGTTATCTTGGAATGGTGCTGTTTTCTTCTGTACTCTGCCCTCAGATCTCTTTGCAAAACTCTGATTTACCCTCTGCCATTATTTGGGAAACAGATTAGGAGAAAAGAAAGCTGGTTTTCTTTACTCTCCCCCTTAGAGATTTTGCTTATGACCTGTCTTAACTTTGGCAGGTTCGATACAGAGGAGGAGGCTGTCGCGATCGCTAATGCAACTGTCGTTGGGTTAGCAGGTAGGTGTTTGTCCTTGTTCAATAGCCATTGTGACCATTTTCTCAAGCTAATGCCAGACTTTTTACCTTTTACACATTGCCCTAGGTTTTGAGAAAGAAACTTCGATGGGGTATGTGTTTTGTTGATTTCCATGTGTTTTGTTGATGACCATCTCTCGGTTTGGAGATGGTCAAAGTGGCTGCAGTATGTACCCTATAACCCTGAGAAAATTAGCATTAGCATCCTCAGTGACTGAACCACTGAGGAGGATACAGAGACACGTAAGATACAGCTATAGCTCAGAGCATCTGGGGTGAGATGTGTGCACAAGGGCTCCTGTAACACTATGTTCAGCATTTGTGTCTTCCCTTCTCGATGGGATGATGGTGGAGGAAGCCATGGCCTGAACTAGGTCATAAACAATGGGCAGGATTCTGGCCGTGCAGAGATTGGAGGAGGGAGATTGTGGGCAGAGGGGACCAAGGGAATTCAGAGGCAAAATAAGAAAGAGCAAGGAGGATTTGGTCAACAAGCTTGGAGAAGATGGTGATTGAAGTAGTAGAAGGTAAAGCTAGAAATGTTGATCGAAACTGTATTAGGAAGGGTTTGAATTCCCATTAAGGAGTTTAGCTTTATTTTATAGGTAACCAGGAGTCACCAAAAGGTTTAGGCAAAAATGTCATGTGGAAATCTAACAGAGGTGTGCAGGATGGATTGAATAGCAGAAAACAGGAGCTGGGTCCTGATAGGAGCCCTAGCAAGAGAGGAATGGAAGAAAAAGATGATTCCCAAAGCTTTTGAGTTGAGAAAGTGGACATGACCAACTTGAGCCTTTATCTGGGAGCAGGGAGGATTCTAGGCTGGAGTGACTAGACAGTTGTCACCAGTGGTGTCCTCAGCTTTGACGTGATGTCTTTAATGAATATTCTATGTACCTTATATGTTCTTGTATCCCTACGACAGGTTATTTTTACTCTCAAGACCCAGCCCAGATCTGGAGAGTGGCCGAGCAGCTGGAAGTTGGCATGGTTGGCGTAAATGAAGGATTGATCTCCTCGGTGGAGTGCCCTTTTGGTGGAGTGAAGCAGTCTGGCCTTGGACGAGAGGGGTCCAAGTATGGCATCGATGAGTATCTGGAACTCAAGTATGTGTGTTTCGGAGGCTTATAGGATTCTCCAGTTCCTTAAGGAAATTAAATAAGCTTACCAACATATATGAGGACATGCCATTCGTTATTTTAAATAAACTAATAGGTTAGTGGAATTATGAATTTTTCAAAACTCATCCAGTCCTCGTAATCTTACGCAGCTGCAAATTCTACCCCTCCCCTCACCTAACTAGGGACCAAAATATGCTACCTGCCTGTGGCTGCAGGTTCCAGGAGAGCTAGCACTGGGTTCATGGAATGAAGCCCTTGGAGCACACAACCTGGCTGCCTCAGAGCAAAGTACACTGAGGCAGACCGGCCCCTTTGCGCCGTCACAAAGTTCCAGTCCTGCCTGGGCAGTGGCACAACCATCTCCCACGTGGCTCTGGAATGTGGGCCTAGAGCGCTTCAAAGGCGACCCCTGACTGTGGCTGACGGCAGGTTGGGGGTCATAGCACCCCCTTCCCTGGCATCCGCCAGCTCAGGACTGAAGACACTGTGTATTCAGAGGTTGAATTAATGACTTTTTCCCAAAGACTTCTGAAATAGCACAGAATTGCCTGTGCTTCTGTGAGGAATGAAGGTGCACCTCTTCCTGTTTTGGGACCATTTTTTAAAGTGAAGTCTTCACTGTCCTAAATTTGCCACTTAAAGATTATATTTTCATTTCTGTCCTACTCACCACTTCATTTTGTTTCCTTTAGGAGATGAGCTGAGGTGTAAAGCAAAACATAGCAGAGGCAGCTCAGTAGCATGGAAGGCTCGCCTCGCTCGGCCTGGCTCCTTCAGTGGGTGGCCTTGTGCCATGGAAGTGCATTTATTAGCTTGATGGGATATTGTGAGCCTGAGACAAGGTGAAACTACTTTGCAAAGAAATGACAATTCGGAGTAAGTGCAGGAGCCATTGTCATGAGCAGCTCCACTCAGCCTTCCCCTGTGCACTGGCAGAGGCTTTGCCAACATGAGGGGAGGCCCTGCCCATCTGCCCACCCTTCTGGGCCTGAGGGAGAGGCTGCCCTGTGCAGCCTGCTCTCCCTGTCCTTCTCCAGTGCTGCTCCTTCCCCTCCAAAAGAGCAAAAGCACTTTGACCACAGTCCTCTCAAAAGGGAAAAAGATTTCCATTATTGCCAATTCACTTCGTGGAAGAGACTTGAGACCTTGAATTTCAGGTACCTTTTATCTAATAAATTTTTACAGTTTATCATTCAAATAACACGAAAAACAAAAATCCCTCTAACTGGTGTTGCCTCTCACTTTGAAAGAAAAACTCCAATTAAGAAAATTCTAGGCTCTTCGAGACATGCCTCCCATCCACATAGGAATAAAGTCTGTCTGTGGCCAAATAGGCAGAAATGAAGCGCCTGCCTTTCCCCACCTCTCTGTGTGTAGACTCCGCTCACATTCTGTGGGTACTCCTGGTAGTGGAAGGAAAACGTGAATGAGAATAGTGCTGGGTGCAATTACTCCTGAACCAACCCTGGACTTAGCATCCCCCACTGAGCCGCTGGGGAGCTGTGGGGAGTAACTAAAGGTCCCTGTGTGCACAAGGGTGGCCTCCAGCCCTGGACCTTCCTCGCTTCTGGCCTGGATCAGACCAGCCAGACCCCAAAACCCCCAAGAGAAGAAACAGCTGAAATCTGCCTCTAGTGACAGTGCCCAGGCCCTGTCAAGAATCACATATTGAGCATTTTGACAGTTAATTTCTGCTCTTTATTTGTATAGTTTTTAGGTGGTTTATACAACATTCAAATTACTTAAGGTTTAGGTATATACATCTTTTTTCTATTAAGAATACAAATGCTCCCACATGATTTTTTAGAAGCCTGAATTACTGATAATGAGATGGGTGGAGGAATACTTTCAAATACATTTTTAACTTCATAAGCCAATGGATTCCTTGGCTGGGTGGCAAATTTTGAGTTTTCTTGCATAGCTGGCTCACTAGGTACATAAATTGAAGGCCAGAGACTCATTGTAGTAATCTTGATCAATTTTGCAATTAAAATTATTTGAAAATAGATATTGTTTAGTAAAATGGGTTTGAGTTGCAGGAAGAAAGACAAGTGTTTTTAAATGAACATTTTTTGTCGTTATTTTTTAATAAGGTAATCATATGTGATAGACGAGCTTTTAAAAAAAGTATATTTTACAACAGGAAATAGAAAAGGAACATTAGACCAGAGTTTGGCAAATCTGGCCTGCCACCTGTTTTTGTAGAATTCATGAGCTAAGAATGGTTTTCATATTTTTTAATGGTTGGGGAAAAAAATCAAGAGAAGAGCAATATTTCATGACATGTGAATATTACATGAAATTCAGATTTCGGTGTCCATAAATAAAATTTTATTGCAACATAGCTGCAGCCACTCATTTATGGGATGGTCTGTGACTGCTTTCTTGGCAGAGTGGAAGAGTTGGGACATAGACAGTATAGCCTGCAAATCCTAAAATATTTATGATTTGGCTCCTTAAGGAAAAAGTTCCCTCCGTTCCCCGATCTAGACCAAAAGGGAGATATTGACCTTCCCATGCTTGTCAGGCATTATTTCATTTTATTTAACACCCCCTGTGAATAAAGTACTTTGCTAGGCATTGCTACCATGAGCGCTCAGCAGGAATGTGGCAGCAATTTTAATTCAAATGAAATTACCCAGATAATGAGAGTCTACTGGCCTTGAAAAAATACTTCTCCATTTACTTCCTCCAGCTACACAGGGATTCTCATTTAAAGAGCTAATATGCATCTGTTATTGTCATCTGTTTGGGTGGCTTTTAAATAGGATTTTATGTCAAGTGATGTCTCTTCTTCCCATGTCTGCCTTTGTTCTTACGGAGAGACTCAGTGAAAATAAAGATCAGAAGCAAATGTAAACAAATCTATGTTATTGTTAACTTCAATTGTGAACTTGAAATTGTGCCGTGTGATTTTTTTCTCTGAAGACTGGATCCCAGTGTTTTAATTACCCATGTGCAGCTATTTTAAATAGCTTTTTACTTGAATAATATTTATGCTATGATTGTTTCATGCCGTACTTTGTGGGATAAAACTTGGGAATAAGAGTAGGGAGAAATGTATAAATGTTTTGCTTTTTAAACGTGGACGTAATTCATTTTTCTAGTTTTTGACAATTGTGTGTTTCAGTTTCTAGTCAGCAAATAGAGCTGCGTGTGTGTGATTAATAAATGTTGAATTAACAAAATTTTCTATCCCTGTGTTAAGGTGTCTAGCTGTGGGGTTTTTTCTTGCCAGGTCATGATTTGAGTTTTTATTGGAGAGTATTAGCCCAGTTCAGGTGTATGTAAACAGCGTTTCCTCCCTAGAGAGCTGCAGTCAGCGCATGCCCCCATCCGGAAGCCAGCGCATGAAAGCAAGTACCCCAGGACCCAGAAGATGGCCTGTCCATGGTTCTTGCTCACTACATGTTTGCTGGGCTGAACAGAGAATTTACCTGGTTGCAGGGTGGCTGCCACAGAAGGGGGTACATCCCAGCTCTTGCCAATTGGCCCATCTCTCTTTCTTACGTGCTCCACTGTTATCCATTACGCACTTTTTTCAAGGTCTTTTTTTAATACAGAAAAGTATGAAACTGTCCAGATATAATCACTGTTCATTATTTTAACAGTGTATCTTATGTTTTTATCAAGTGTTCATTTATATTTTAAGAAATTTCATGTAGCCTCATCGAACCCGGAACTACAATGTATCAGTAAGCCTTCAGCAAAGGTAAGGTTTTCACTGGAAGAAAGAACAGTGTCATGAGACACATATCTCCCCGTCATTCCACTTATTCATGCATTTCTTTTAACCTGCTTTTGATTTTTAAAATTGCTTTGTTACCAGAACAAACTATCCACTTACCTCTCAATTTACATGCTTGTTCTAGGCCTCTTCTTAGAAGGAAATTTATTGTCATCTTCCAACAATGTTTTCACTGTCTTATCGGTACATTTTCACCTGTTACAGCTGCTTTATCTCTGGTTTATCTTACAAGAAATTAAAAAGCAAATTAGCGTGGTTTTCGTTAGTCAGATCTGGGAAACCTGTCTGGAAAAAGAGCAAATCCTGTTTATCTTTGCTCAGTCTGAGAGTGTGGAAGGCCACAACATATTCTCTTTGCATGTAGTGTTTATAAATGAATAGAAATGGAAATCCATGGTCTGCAGATTTACCTATAATCCATCCATTTTACCAGCTAACTAGGAAGGACTAGCCACAATGTAGAACACAGACAACACCCCTGCCCAGTGTTTAGTGGACACGGCTGTTTTTGCAAATGTTGTCTCACATGATACCGTCACACATCACTTAACGATGGGAATACATTCTGAGAAACGCGTTGTTAGGCAATTTCATCGCTGTGCAAGTATTAGAGAGTGTACTTCCACAAACCTAGATGGTATATCCTACTATATACCTGGGCTCTATGTTAGAGCATATCACTCCTAGGCTATGAACCTGTACAGCACCTGACTGTACTGAATACTGCAGGCAATCTAAACATAGCTAAACATAGAAAAAGTACAGTAAAAATATAATATAAAAGATAAAAAATGGTACACTTGTATAGGGCACTTACCATGAATGAAGCTTGCAATACTGGAAGTTGCTTTGAGTGAGTCACTGAGTGGTGAATGAATGTGGAGGCCTAGGACATTACTGTGCACTACTGCAGACTTTATAAACATTACGGACTTAGGCTACACTAAATTTATAAAAAATAGTTTCTTCAATAACAACCTCAGGTTACTGTAACTTTTTTACTTTATAATTTTTTAATTTTTTTAACTTTTTAAACTTTTTCATTAAAAACTAAGACAAACACACACATCAGCCTAGGCCTATGTAGGGTCAGCATCACCAATATCACTGTCTTCTCCCTCCACATCTTGTCCCACTGGAAGGTTTTCAGGATCAGTGACACACACTGAGCTGTCATCTCCTATGATAACAATGCATTCCTGAATACCTACCTCCTGGAGGACCTGCCTGAGGCTCTTCTTAGCAGGTATCACTCATCAGCAATATGTCTATGGTGGTTTGCTTGGTTTGTTTCTTTTTTTAATCATAGATTTGCTTATAAGCAGATAATGCCCCATGAACATTCCTCTCTATTAATGA